GCTCTTCCATTGACAATAGAACCCTCTCAATCCCAAGAACCAAAACTAAGACCATCGGTGAACGCTCCTTCTACTTCCATGGGCCCACGTTCTGGAACCAGCTCCCCTTCCACATCCGTCATTGTGAAACCTCGTCCACTTTTAAAAAGTCCCTTAAAACCAATCTGTTCAGGTCCGCCTATGACCTGTGATGCACCCTCCTCGCCCTGCCTCATTTTCTGTCTCGGGTTGATCCTGTAGTATAGGCCAAAACGTGCCAAAGTGTCCTCGTTTTATAGCCATTTTAATTGTTTCTATAGTATAGTAGTTACTATCCTAATGTCTCATTTTTATTTTAGTTAGTTTACATGTTTTTAATAATTGTAAAGCGCTTAGAGCTTTAAGGTAAGCGCTATATAAAAATGCCTAAATAAATAAATACATAAATAATGTAGGCCTATTCGGTCAAAGTTCCAGAAAACAAAGTACAAAGACGGTGAGGACAAAAAAAGGGTGTGGGGTCGTAGGGATAAATACAATGGTCCTTATACAAAGTTATACATTTCCTATTGACTGTTTAGTAGTACGGTAATAAAATTATAGGTAACCTGATGGCAAACACTATAATTTTCCTTGGTGCGCCCATGAGCCCCGATCACAACTCGCCGGCGCGCTGCTGTATTTATCAAGTCCAAACAATGGCGACGAACCGTTTTCAGAGAACGGCGCTGTGCTTTATGTTTTCGCGCGAGGGTGAGTGTCAGGGGCGTACCGGCCCTGGATAAAGTCGGCTCCTATGGGCCCTTGGTCCTCAACGCAATAATTTCATTTACAGTGTACCGGTAGTTAAAGGTTAAACAATACACGATTTTAATACTAGCCACATTAATATGTATCAGATGGCGCTGCAAGCTAACAAGACGATCATGACGGTCTACAAAACAAAGGGACATTACTTACACGTATATAGGGCTCATTTACTGTCTGATAGAGATATTCCTATCCGGTGCTAAGCCACTTTTTTAATAGAGATATTCCTATACGGTGCTTTGCCCCTGCCTAGTAGAAATATTCCTATACGGTGATGTGCCCCTGTCTGATCAAGACGGTCCTTGTTGCACAAAAAAAAAATTATGTGGCTATTCTAAACGTCTCCGGGAATAATCAACAATGTCTCAGCCAGCGCTGGCTGCTTGCCACCCCCACCTCTCTCAAAATAAAATTATTAGCCTACTCGAAACGCTTCCTACAAATACAATAATCAATAATTTCACAACGTCTCCAGCTACAAGCCACTATTTCACCAGTGATTCACCACGTCTCCTACGGCAATAACCTAATTCACAATGTCTCCTACAGCAATACCCTAATTCACAATGTCTCCTACGACAATAACCTAATTCACAATGTCTCCTACAGCAATACCCTAATTCACAATGTCTCCTACGGAAATAACCTAATTCACAATGTCTCCTACGGCAATAACCTAATTCACAATGTCTCCTACGGCAATAACGTAATTCACAATGTCTCCTACGGCAATAACCTAATTCACAATGTCTCCTACGGCAATAACCTAATTCACAGTGTCTCCTACGGCAAAACCCTAATTCACAATGTCTCTTACAGCAATAGCCTACGTCACAATGTCTCCTACAGAAATAACCTAATTCACAATGTCTCCTACAGCAATAACCTAATTCACAATGTCTCCTACAGCAATAACCTAATTCACAATGTCTCCTACAGCAATAACCTAATTCACAATGTCTCCTATACGGTGATATCCCCATGCCTGATCGACATTTTCCTATACATGTTTTATGCCCATTGCTCGACATTTTCTTATATATTTTTTATGGACATGGCTCGATATTTTCCTATACTGTGCTGTTCTCTTCTCTTGACTTTGGACATTGCCAAGGCAACATTGCGTGATCTTGGAATTTTTTCATTATCATTTTATTTTTAAATTTATCCCACACACTATGCATCTCTCGTGAAGGCATTAGGGATATAGATATGTTAACTGTCTGAGAAATACTTGAAATCATTCGCAGATGACATGCAGCTAGCTATACAAGCATGTCCACCCCTCTCTTGTCAATTCTGCTATCCACACCTTGCAGGAATGCATTGGGGATGTCAAGTCATGGATGACGCTCAGCAAGCTGAAGCTGAACAGTGACAAAACGGAAGCACTCCCCATTCCCAATCATGAACCATCCTCTAACTCAGCTCTCCCCATCTCGTTTCAAGTAGGTAGCTCTGATATAGAGCTCACATCCTCTGCTAGGAATCTTGGTTACATTCTTTCTGACAACATGTCTCTCAATAATCATCTTTCTCACATATGTCGCTCTGCGTACACCGCTGTCCGTCAGATCAGCTCCACCCGCCACTACCTCACAGTTAGCGCAACAAAAACATTAGTATGTGCTCTTGTTCTCTCTCGTCTTGACTATTGTAACTCTCTTCTGTAGGGTCACCAAAACATTTCATAGAAAAACTGCAGAAAATTCAAAACTCAGCTGCTAGGTTAGTTCTAAATGCAAAGAAACGTGATCACGTCGCTCCGCTACTTCACGCACTTCATTGGCTCCCCATACAGGCACGCATTGACTACAAGCTGTATGTTCTCCGTCACAACTTTTTCTCTGCTTCCTGCCCTTCCTATCTTACTGAACTTCTTTCTGTCTATTCACACCTTCGAATCTTC